TTCATAGCGGGGTTTCACCATGTTAGCCAGGATGGTCTTGATCTCCTGACCTCGTGATCCACCCACCTCGGCCTCCCAAAGTGCTGGGATTACAGGTGTGAGCCACCATGCCCAGCCTTTTTACTAAAAGTATATCTTGTCTGATGGAAGTATAGCTATCTCCAATCTTTCCGTTTCTATTTGAATGGAATATCTTTTTCCATCCATTTACTTTGAGTCTGTGTGTCCTCAGAGGTGAAATGAGCCTCGTATGCACAGCATATAGTTGGATCTTCCAAACAAGTGATTCTAAACAAGTAACATATAGTAACATAGTCCACTAGTCTGTTAGAACCATGATACCTAGGCATCTGGCCAGGGGTACATCCATCTTTTACAGGGCCTGAAGCTGATATAATTTGAGGAATTTTTTTTTAAGAAAAAGAATTTAAATTTTCAGATACAAAATTAGATACCACAAAGGACTTCTGCAAGTAAGAGGTAATGAAGCTTAAGCTTCATTAGCTTCATGGAAAATTCATCTCAGTATCTGGCACACAGTAAACGTTGCAGTTATTTGTGGAATTATTTTTGATTAGCTAATATCTGTTGATTAAAACTAATGTTACAATGAGTATGACTACCCTGCTTGTGGGCCACTTGCTTGCAATTTCTTCAGTATATTTAGACTTAACAGTACCTTAGCATTAGTCTCAATGAGCTTACTCCATGTCCATTATTCCTGTATGTGCTAGCCTACCCAGGTAAAGGACATAAAAATGAAATATACAGCCAAATGGGTTTTATTTTCTTGATTCATTTAGACTATGACCATTTCCCAGATATTTGTTGTCTTAATCCGTTTTCTGCTGCTACAACAGCATACCACAGACTGGGTAACTTATAAAGAAAACAGATTTATTCAGTTAACAGCTCTAGAGGCTGGGAAGTCCAAGAGCTTGGTGCTGGGATCTGGTAAGAGTGATCCCATGGTGAAGGGTGGAAGGCAGAGTAAACACATGAGACAGAGAAAGGAAATTGGACCAAACTCACTTTTACAACAAACCCATTCTTTTGATAACTAACCCACTCCTGTGATAACAGCATTAATCTATTCATGATGGCAGAGCCCTCATGACCTAATCCTCTCTTAAGGGCCCCACCTTCCAATACCATTGCACTGGCAATTAAGTTTCAACATGTGTTTTGGTGGGACATTCACACTATAGCATTTAATTGTGTAAATCCAACATTTAAACTAAATTCCTAGGCTAAATCTATCAAAAATTATTAAACAAAGTCAGAAGATAGCCACTTGAGAGGTGATATAGATACTAGATATGTCTTTCACCAGATCCTAAAGCTTAATTAACTCTGTCAGACTGAGGGGCATGGAATTATAGAGATATACTCTTGAATGCATTTTGCTTAAGTCCACATTCAAATATATGAATAATGAGGAGGTCCACAGGTGAATCAGCAAATAAATGGACTGCATAGTATGTTTCCAAACAGATTATGAAATTAAAACTTTCATGGGGGAGATATAATATCAATTTAAGAACTAGTAATGTTTGCCCTCTTAGCCAGCACCTGTAGTCCCACCTACTCAGGAGACTGAAGCAGAAGGTTCACTTGAGCCCAGGAGTTTGAATCTAGCCTGGGCAAAGTAAAACACGATCTCTTTTATTTTTAGTTTTAATTTGCCCTCTTCAAATCGATGACCCCAATTCCCTAGAACTATTTTTTTAAATACAGGGGAGAAATCAGAGAATTAAGGAAGAATGCAAAAATGAGAGACAGAAAACGTTCCAGAAATAATTTGACCACAGATCTTAAAGCCCACACTTACTTCTAAACATAAAGTACTCATAATGGTACCACAAATAGAACCATCTATATATGGGTATGTGTTTTTGTTTGTTTGTTTATATGGCTGTATATCAGTGTTCTATAGTTTTAAAATTAACTAGAATAAGTTTTAGATATTCTTCACCATTTGTTTTGACATATTAATTTTAAGATCAATTTATCAAGTTGAGGGGATTTTGATTAGAACTCCACTGAGTTTTACAGAATACATGGGGTCAGAATTGAAATTTTTATAAATGTATGGTCTTCCTAGATATAAGCATGTGTATGTCTGTATTTTAATCAGATGTTCATTTATGTTCTTTAGTAATGGTAATATCTTCTCAAATGTACTGCATATTTTTTGCTTTCAATAATAAATACAAATTTTATCAAAGAACAGAAAACAGGGAAAGCCACCTAGCTCATTTTATAAGACTAGTGTAATCTTGATACCAGCCAAGGGCAGTTTAAGTAAACAAAGTCACAGACTATTCTTAAGAGCATAGATGTAAAAATCTTAAATATTAGCAAAGTTGAAAAAAGTATATATTTTCAACTTACCAAATTCTTCTCTGAATATAAGAATCTATTATTAAAGTATCATGCTATTCTTGGATTAAAAATTAAAAACCACATATTATTTTGATTGTACATTTAAGTTGCCTCCAGTTTTTCACTGTTACAAACAGTGCTTTAACTGCCAATCTTGGATACTGTCCCATCATTTCCTTAGGAAGATTTACCAAAAGTATATTTTAAATTATGATATATTGTTAAAATACAGGTCCAGCAAACTTTTTTACAAAGGGCCAGATAGCAAATATTAGAGATTTGTGAGCCAAGAGGCAAAACTGAAGTTATTATGTAGGTACTTATATAACAAGACAGAAAATTTCCATAAATCTTTATTGATGAAATTAAAAGAGTACAATTTTTGTGACATAGCTCTACATATGTGAAGAATGGAATCCTTTTCAGAGGAGGTAACATTTCACTTAATTGGGTTTGAAAGCTGGTGTTTCCTATCAAAATCTTTAGCTAACGTTCATCTGTTAATGCTTATCTACAATGAGATTTTACATATTTCACCTTTGAAAATGTCTTTCCACATATATAAGTACTGCCAAATACTGATATCAATCCATGAGTATATGCTTTTAATTGAGTATATTCAACAGACTGGCAGGCATTTTTAGAATTCTATTAGCTAAAAGGCTAGAATGCCTTTTAGCATGTCATTACATTGCAAATCACTTCCAATTAAAGTTCCTCAATTGCACAGTTAAATGGATTTTGGAATATGTAAATTTCCTTTGCACTTGCATCAAGGTCTGAAAAACACTGCTGTAATTTGAAATCAGAAAATATATTGCTGAAAATTTGTGTAGGAATGGAGATGATTTAAAAAAAAAAAAAAAAAAAAACCTTTCGACAGTGCAGGAAGTATGTGATGCAGCCTGACATTACTTGCAATTCAAACAATGTTCTCATTGAAATGACTTTATCACATTATGTTTCACATATAAGTTTCACATATAAGCACTGTTTTACTTTGTAACTTTAGCTTGAAACCGTTTCAAATTTGCAGCAAAAGCTAATTTCAAAGCCACTCAGTGTTCAATAGCAGTGATTGAGCACAGTTCTTCCAACCCGTTAAAAATGTAAAAACCATTCTTAATTTGAGGACTGTATCAAAAGCAGGCTAGATTTGGCCCATGGGCCATAGCTTACTGACCCTTGGCTAGTGCAGTGGCTCACACCTGTAATCCCAGCACTTTCGGAGGCCGAGGCGGGCAGATCACAAGGTCAGGAGTTCAAGACCAGCCTGATCAACATGGTGAAACCCCGTCTCTACTAAAAATACAAAAGCTAGCCAGGCATGGTGGTGCATGCCTGTAATCCCGGTTACTCAAGAGACAGAGGCAAGAGAATCACCTGAACTGGGAAGGCAGAGGTTTCAGTGAGCCGAGATCATGCCACTGCACTCCAGCCTGGCAACAGAGTGAGGCTCTGTCTCAAAAAATAAATAAAGTCTTAACCAATTATATTCCCAGTAAGTGTTACATGCCTGTTTTCCCAAAACTTTGCAACCTGTAATTATTATTTACTTTTAAAGATTTATCCAATTTGAAATTACATTTTTCAGCTTGCATTTATTTACATAAGGTCACATATCTTTTAATGATTATAAGCCATTTATATCTATTTCTTCACTGTAAGTGGTTGTTCATATTCTTTCCCCATTTTTATTTCAATAAAATTTTCATTCCAACAATCATTCTGCATAGCAAAAAGAGATCTAAATCCTTTTTAGTGACTCCACTTGTTCAGTATTACTTTTCACTGCTTTCTCCTACACATCCAACACTCCTTCCATATCGAAAGATCTGCCATTGTCTGAGAGTTGTGTTTTCTCAGGCTTCTCTGCATATCTGCACCAGACGTCATTCATTCCCTGTCACCTTTTGTCCATTTTCCCCCTCTTATAGTAACTCTTATTCACCCTTCAAGACTACCATCAGAGATCAGTTCCTCCTCTTTGGTTCCACAGCATCCTGCACATACATGCTATAAAATCTACCATACTTTTTTGTAATTAACTATTGGTTTACAGTGGTCTCTCTCCCCACTGGGCATACAGCTTTTTGAGATACGGTATTATAATTGATCGCCATACTCCAAAACAGTGCCCAGCACTTAGTCGGTACTAATTATTTTATTTCATAATACTAGTAATATTAATAATAACAAATATATGCCAGACGCAGCAACCAATCTGTTTAGTATTCCTTGTATCGTGCTTAGCATAATATGCAATTAAAATCTGAAGACTCACCCTCGGATATTAATGTCTTACAAAAGAAAAATAGCAATTAACATTTTTTATTCCCTGACAAAACTGAGTATGTCAAAGACTTTATTAAAAACTTGTATTTTCCCTCACAGCTTAAAATAATTTATTTAAATACTTGCCTTTAGTTATAGCTGTGATCTCCAATTCAGAAAAATTTGCTTATACTAGAAAACTAAGAAACTTAAAATACAGAAAAGAATATTTACAAACTTTCTATTTTGTAATCTGAACAATAAATTTCTTTCAAAATCCTCTTTGTAATTTGAGCAAGATTCATTTTGAATCAATCTTTTATTTTGCTTTATTTCCTCAGGATATTCATTACCTTGCACTAGATAAAGGTGAATTGGCACTAGCTGAAGTGGCAAGAAAAAGAGCTAGTGACATTGATGCAGAATCAATAACCTCTGGAGTTGGTAAGAATTAATGCTATTTTTAAGTGCTTTTTATTTTAATCAATAGTTAGTATCATTTCTATTTATGTTTGGAGGACATGGTTGGTTAATTTGAATTACTTTGTAAAGACAGTGCCTTATAAAAAGAAGAATTAAGCCTTGACAAACAGCACAGTATTGATATACAAATTGGAATTGTGTTTATGTGAAAATTTCTAATCAGTGATTACTATTGTCATCATTTAGCAAAAAGTCAAAAGGATATTCTTTTCATAAGATTTTGTGAGTATTATCATACTGCTGTTATTAAAATTAACCAACACAGAAATTTATATAATCCTTTATACACAGACATGTCATTTCTCAAAAGAATTCTCTCCTATATCAGGCAAAGTATTTCATATGGGAGTTTGGGTTTGATAGGTGATCTGTTTTTCTTTAGAAGCTGCTAGAATCATTTTAAACTGTAGTATTCTAAAGAAGACAGATCAGAAGCCTTAGAATGAATTTAAAAGTTCCTTTAAATTTTATAACATAAAAAATGAAAGTTTATAAAAAGTATTGTAATATTAACACTAACATCTTTTTTTTCACCTGTTTATCTAATGCCTCTAAATTGAGCAATACTGATATTTAGAAATCCAATTCCTTTTCTTACTGAGTATTTATTATTCTTAAATTAGGCAAAGATCCCTCAGGATTGTACTAGAATTCATTCTTCTGTGGAACTCCTCTGAAACAAGTTTTAAAAAGATTTCCACTTTGTAAGTGCTTGAAAAATCTTATACAAGCCTCTCCATTGACAGATCTTGTGCTTTGTTTTTGTAATGCTGTTTGCAGCCAAAGGGACCAATTGTCAGCTTCTTTCTGACACCACCACATAGATCTAATCTTCAAGGTGGTACTGAAGGACTCAAAGCCATTCCAGCAGGGTAGCTCTAAACCTGAATACCAGGGCCAACAGGTACTAGCAAGATAATTCCATTCTACTTCCCCCATCCTGAAAGAGTTCCAAATTGATTAGACCACTTTCATATCTCCGTTTCTAATGGATAAGGAATACTCACTATTAATGCAGTATTGGATAAGAATAACTGTAATTGACCTATCACTATATCTTGTTACTTGCTAGGGAGAGATATTAATGTGTGTACTACTACTACTAATAGCACCTAATATTTATTGAATGCTAAGTTACAGATAACTAATTTTCACCACAACTCTGTGAAGTAAGTACAATTTATATTTGCTATGAGAAGTCACTTCTAACTAAATGATGAAAGCATACCATGTTTATAGAAATGATGATGTTATATGATGGGGAAATATCCTCCATCCCCATCCCTCTAGCCATTTAGGAAAACACAGTAGGAAGTTAAGTCATAGCCAGTTTTCTGGGATGTTTCCTTAGCTGTCCTGTACCCTGCCTTTTCTTCCAGGATCATGAAGGCCATCTTTGCATTTTAAAGCTATCTAAAAATAGTAACAGTGAAAGAGAATGTGAAGAGATTATCACAAAATTTCAGCAAAACAAAGAAACTCCCCGATTCACCAAAATGCATCTCATTTCCTGTATATTCTCTGATGAGGTTACTGTGGCCAGCGGATAATTCCTAGCCAGAAAGCTTAGTGTACCTACTTTGAGCCCTGCGTCATTTCTAGCAAATATATTTTCAATGATACCCTGTGACTTCTCTTTTCTCAGTCTTGTCTCAGGCCTCAGACTTTGACCTAGATTACTGCGTTTTGACAAAGATACTATTAAATAACATCAGTAACTTTCAAGACATTGCCCTATTACATGAATGTTCTACTCAGTTTTGCTGCAGAAAACTGGGTGATTCTCACTCATAATTCCAAATGGAATTAGCAAAGAATTTCTGGTTTCCTCATCATGGTCTCGCCTAGTTCTTTTTTGCAGCCCACATCATGCTGGGGAAAGCTAATTTTCTCTCAAATTCCCTCAATTTAATTCAATTATTCTCTTAAACTTATCCCAAAGCTGAAAGTTATTAAATTTTTGGCTTTCAAAGTGGTTCTTTGATGCAAGCAAGGAGCCAAATTATGTAAGACAGCGAAAGAGTAGTTCCATTTACATGGGAGAGTCTGTAAAAAAGCATCAGACATAAATACTGTCACCATAGTTAAAAGCAAGAGTTGCCAAAGGAAAAGCTGGATGATGATAATCTGAACAATTTGGTAATTTTTTAAACTTTTTATTTAAGTCTAACATGCATACAGAAAAGTGCACAAAACATAAGCATGTGACTCAATGAATTTCACAAAGGAAACACATCCTTGTAAAGAGTATCTTCACCAAGTAACATATGTTACCAGGACCCCAGAAGCCTTCCTATACCCACTTCAAGATGTTAAAATCTCAGCCCAACTGTCCAGATTTGTAACATTATAGACTAGTTTTGCCTTTTTTCAAACTTAAAATAAATGGATTCAAACCTATATTCTTTTGTATTTGGCTCCTTTTATTCAACATTACGAATCTGAGAATATTTCATATTGTTGCATATAGTTATAATTCTTCCACTCTTATTGCTGTATAACAATATTCCAATGCATGAATGTACTTCAATTTATTCTGCTTTAGATGGATATTTGGGTTGTTTCAAGTTTGGGACTAATGTGAATAGTGCTGCTATGAACATTCTTGTGTATGTCTTTTAATGGACATAGGTACGCAGATCTGTTCGACTGTGCTTAGAAGTGGAATTCCTGTGACATAGGATATGCAGCCTTAGTAGTTACTTCCAGTTTTCCAAAGTAGTTGTTAACAATTTCCCTTCTCACCAGCAGTACGTAAGAGTTCCAGTTTTGGCCATCCTCACTGATGCTTGATATTGTCTCTCTTTAGTAGTTACTTCCAGTTTTCCAAAGTAGTTGTTAACAATTTCCCTTCTCACCAGCAGTACGTAAGAGTTCCAGTTTTGGCCATCCTCACTGATGCTTGATATTGTCTCTCTTTTTCATTTTAGCCATTCCGGTGGAAAAGGTATTGTAATTTTGTATATGTGACAGTATAATATATAGGCTGTTTCTGGACCATGTTCTATTTTATTACTGTTTGTCTGTACTTGCACAGATATCTCACTGCTTTAAGCAACTCTGGCTGTCAATATTATTATTTAGTAGTGCAAATTGCCCAGCTTTGTTCTTTAAGATGGACTTGTCTATCTTTCCATATAAATTGCAAAATCAGCTTATACCCTGACTCAAGGGAAAAAAAAAAAAACAGTGGGGGCTGAAATTCTAGTTAGAATCTCATTTAACTCATAGATACATTTAGGCTGAATGTATTTCTTTATAATATTGTTTTCCAATCCATTAATACGATCTATCCCTCCATTTATTTAGGTCTTCTCTATTTCTTATGAAAAATGTTTCATAGTTTTCATAGTAGTGGTCTTCTACATCTTCCTTTAGATTTAAGTATTTCTTTTTCTCCTCTGTATGTGGTAATCTTATTTTAAAATTTCATTTTCTGTTTTATTTCTGGCATATATATGATTGACTATTATATACATATATCGACCTTATATCCAGCAATAAGTGCTAAATTCACTTATTAATGCCAACAGTTTGTAAATTCTTTTGAATTTTCTGCATCCCAATCATGTCATCTGGAAATATGTTAGTCTCTTTGCATTGCTATAAAGGAATACCTAAGACTGAGTAATTTATAAAGAAAAAAGGTTTATTTTGGCCCAAGGTTCTTCAGGCTATGTGAGAAGTATGGTGCCGGCATCTGCACCTGGTGAGGCCTCAGGAAGCTTCAAATCATGGCAGAAGTTAAAAGGGGAGATGCCATATCACATGGTGAGAGAGGGAGAAAGAGAGAGAGAAGAGGGGAGATGCCATATCACATGGTGAGAGAGGGAGAAAGAGAGAGAGAAGAGGAGGACCCAGCCTCCTTTAAACAACTAGCTCTCATGTGAACTAACAGAGCAAGAACTCACTTCTTACCATGGGGAGGGCACCAAGCCATGTAAGAGGGATCTGCCTCCATGACCCAAACACCTCCCACGAGGCCCCACCTCCAACATGGGGATTACATTTCAATATGAGTTGGAGGGGACAAACATCCAAACCATATCAGCAAATAAGGACATTTTAATTCCTTCCTTTCTAGTTCTTATGCCTTTTACTTCTCTTTCCTTATTACTGTACTGACTAGAAGCTCTAGTATAAAGATAAGTAGAAGTTGTGACCGGCATTATTTTCTGTTTCTTGATTCTTAGGGAAAGCTTTCAATAATTCACCAGTTAGCATAAAGTTTTCCCCAGGTTTTTAATAAAACTTTCATACATATTAATAAAGTTCCCTTCAATAAACTAGTTTGCTAAGAGTTTCTATCATGAATAGGTATTGAATTTTATCAAATACTTTTCCTGTGCTTATCAAGATTATTATGATCTTTCTCCTTTGTTCTATTAATATAGTGAATTGCATTGATTTTCAAATGGCAAACTAACCTTACATTCCAGAATAAATACTTCTTAATTGTGATGATGTATTTTTACATATTCCTGGATTTCATTTACTATTTTTAAATGTTGGCATTTACATTCATGAGGGATCAGTCTGTAAATGGTTTTACTTCAGTATCTCTGCCTAGTTTTGATATCTAGATTATTTTGACCTAATGCCTAAATGTCAAGCATTCTAGAAAGGATACATTTGAACATGTAATAGTACTTTGTGTCCAGTTATTTATATATGGCATATGTAACACTTCCTACAACTTAAAAATTTTACATTAATCTTGACTGTATTGATGTCAACATTTTGGTTGTAACATTGTATTAAATTTTTGTGAAATACTATCATTGGAGGAAACTGGGTAAAAGAGACATGGGACCTCTCCATTATTTCTTACAACTGCATATTAATAAACAATTATCTTTAAAAGTTTAATTTTTAAAGTTTATATTAATATAGTGTCCTATGTTAAGTACTGTAATAAACATTACCTTATTTGGTCCTCCCAAATTATCTCTAAAGGAGAA